GCCCTGACCCCTGAAAGACCCCCCCCCAGGTCTGGGGTCCCGGCCGCAGGCCCTGATCAGCCTGCTGCTGGCCTAGGTGAACAGAACCCCAGGCTGGCAGCGAGCTGAGCAGGCTGGTGGCGTAAGATCAGCATTTTAATTTAATTTTAAATGATGCTTCTTAAACATTTTGAAAACCTTGTTTACTTTACACACAATAGTTTAGTTATATAATATAGACTTATGGAAAGACCTTCTAAAAATGTTAAAATGTATTACTGGCACGCAAAACCTTAAATTAGAGTGAATAAATGAAGACTCGGCACACCACTTCTGAAAGGTTGCCGACCCGAGTTAATTTGTGCTCCCTCTACTCGTTCAGCAGCAGATGAGCAAAAAGCCACCATGGGTACCATATAAATATTGCTTTTTAAACACTCTCATAAAACAGTGATTTAGGGCCTTAGAGACACAACTAAGTGACTAACAACATACGGAAGGGGTTTCAAAGGTACAAAAGGCACCTAGATGCCCCACTCCTAATTGTTCTTAAATGTCTGGGAGTACCGGGCAGATAAAAGTATACAGTGCAGGTAATTCCATAATCATTTCAATATATACCTAGAGGCTTCTGTCAGCCGTCCCCCTTATCCATCCTGGTCCCCAGAGAACCTGCGGGACCTCACCATCCTCCCCCCCTTGAATGAGGGTTGTGTGGAGGGGGGGGGGGCTAAAGGAGGGATGGGATGGCTCTATGCTGAACCAGTCATAGGAGCCCCCAAATACCCCTCCCCCATTTCCACTCTTAAATAATACCTCCTTTAAATCCTTTACCAATCCACTTCATCTAATCACTGTATCCCTTCCTATGGAGTACTTGCACCGGGCATCTGACCCATGTTTACACAATGAGTTGGGACATCACAGCCTAACTCCCATTTCATGTTTGCCCAACTAAACCCCATGAACCAGCTCCAGGAAAGGTGACCCACCCCACTTAACCTTGGCCTGAAGGTGAGGGAAAAAATCCTTCTCGGCGTCCGCAGAAAGAAGCAACTAGCGCAGTGCCTGCAGCGGATCCTGACCAAACCCAGTATTTCACTGCTTCCATGGGTGGGAGGGTGAGAGTTGCCCTGCTTGGCCCAGGTAAAAAAAAGGGCTTTCCCTGCACTGGCATGGACGTATATAGTCCCCACTCTGTTCTAGTCACCAGCAGGAGGATGGATCAGCATCCCCACACTTACCTGGTCTGCCACTACAGCAGAAAGTCACTCCCTGGCTCTCTAGCTCTTAAAGGGCCATACACCTTTTCCAGCTAGCCAGACAATGGACCCCACTGCTAAATATGCAGTGAGGTTGTGTGTGTCTCTGGAAAACTGTGGCTTTACAAAATAGTAAATTTTTGGGTATGTTATCATACAAACCATTTAAGACCGAGGTTGTAGGAAATTATTTCAGTGTCGTGCCTCAAGTGTTTACATTTCAAAGTAAGTAGAAGGAAAGAAATACTAAAAGCACGATTCTTCACTCCTCTGCTTCATTTCTATATGCTTTTTGCTCTCCAGTTGCATTGCACAACCCTAACATTTAATCACCTACCTAAATGCAAAAGTTCTCATATTTGCTACGCCCTCAGAGTACTATAAAGTGTAATCAGCTGCCAGTCTAATGCAAATATGGTATTTATTTACCCTTTTTCATGAAAAACAACTGTTAAAATGACTCATGGTGTCTATGTTGTAACATGTATGGCAGGCAAAGTGACTATATGTACGTTGTGAGAAATGAATTATATATCATCGTTTTTTCCTCAAGACTAAGCTGTCATTTAAAAGTTATACCACAGAAAAAATCTGTTAAACTGCTATCACAGATATACATACTTTTCTCAGGGATTTAAATGTGTGAAAATTTAGAAAGCTTGCCATTAATTTATGTAAAGGCCTCTTAGAACAGTAAGTGCATTAGAAATGGTGATAGGGATTAAAGCAAACAATCAGTTTAAAGTAAAATTTAGACATGATAAATTACCATTTGAGTGATTTAATAAATTACTTACCATGTCATTATCATCTCTCAGTCTCCTTTTGTTGTAGGTAAATTCTACAACAAACCATGATCTTGCTATTCTTCTATAGGACTTTTAGTAATGAACTTTGTAAGTAGGATGCTGGGTATCAGTTTAAAAACATCACAGCCTCCACTCTCCAATTTCAGGTTTCAGAGTGGTAGCACTGTTAGTCTGTATCAGCAAAAACAATGAGGAGTCCTTCTGGCACCTTAGAAACTAACAAATTTATTTGGGCATAACCTTTCGTGGGCTAGAACCCACTTCATCAGATGCATGAAGGTGTCAACTGTTTGAAATCGGCCACTCTTATTACCACTACAAAAGTGATTTTTCCTCCCTTGGTATCCTACTGTTAATTGAATTGTCTCGTTGGACTGACCTCCCACTTGGTATGGCAACTCCCATCTTTTCATATGCTGTGTATTTATACCTGCTACTGTATTTTCCACTCCATGCATCTGGTGAAGTGGGTTCTAGCCAATGAAAGCTTATGCCCAAATAAATGTGTTAGTCTCTAAGGTGCCACAAGGATTCCTAGTTGTTTCTCCAATTTCATTAGACTTATACAAGAAGAATTTGAGCTTTAAGCACAAGTATTAATGGTAACAAATATTAAAAGTTATTACTGAAGCATAATTAAATTAGGGAAGAATCTGGGAGTTTCATACTAGTTTTGTAGATATATGCAAAGTGATTTTGAACAAAAAAACCCAAATACAACTGCAGGAAATCTATTATGATATTCTCATCATAAACACAGAATGTGGGGAAAAAGTAAAATTAATGAACCATATTATATACTAATTGCCATACTTTTTACAATATGCCTCCTTTATTTCAAGGAACATTAACAAATTCCAGTTTCTTACCAGATCAATCAGGCTCTCCTGTATCCTGTTTAGCGTAGTGCGCAGCCTGTTACTACTAAGACCCAGTCCTGTTGATTCAAACTGAAAATAAAAAAAAAACCAACAATATTCTAAAAAACATAGGAAAGGACAAATTTTGTGTTTTAGTTTAGTGACTAACACAACCAAAAAAAAGTTCACAGTTTGTTCAATACAATATACTTGCGTATAGTTTCAGCATATAACTGCAACAAAACCAAAATGAAAAGAAGAAACATGCAAAAGATCACTGCACCCAACATTACACTGATGTAAAGAATGAACTGTGCTCAGTTCACAAAGATGACCATATACAATTCATACTGACAAATGATTATCTACTTTGTCAGGGGGATACTTGCCAGAATATTCTCTTGGATTGTTTTAACATGTCTCTATGCTATAAAATGAGACTGCACGCACAGGAAACGATGACTTTATTCCCACAGACCAGCAAGAGAGACCTCATACAATGGCACATCATACTATGCTGCCTGAGAAATTAATACGTCACAATGTAGAATGATCATGTTTATTAACTTTTCACAAACTACATTATCTTCCATAATAATTTGTTTAATATCAACTTTGAGTTGTATAATTATTTTCCATCAATCTTTATGAAAGTCATTTTTATTACTGAACATTTATTATGATCAAGCTAGGAAATGTGTCATCTTCATGCTCTGCACAGGGCCCAAAGTTCTATGGATCAGATCCTCTGTTGGTCTAAGTCAGTATAGCTTCACTAACTTCAATGTAACTACAATATTTGCTCCAGCTGAGGATCTGGCCCAACATGTTTAGATTAACAGCTACTTATTTTCTAATTTTCGCTCCAGAAGAAACACATATTACCAAACAGAACAGCTCAATCAGATGAAACTACAATGGAGATGGAAAAACTAGAAAACATACATTTATATCCAGGGTCCACATGATCTAGAAGTACCAAGATATGGTACTGGTATGTGTTTCACACCAGAAAAAAATTTTCTGAACAATGTTTAGACACTGCTGTCCACTGTGTTGGATTTAGTACTATAAAACTTTTCCCAGACTGCATCTGGGTGAGAAATGATCAATGTTCAAGTGGTTTCCACAAATCAAAATAATTTTTATACAAATTTTACTTATTTACCACCTACACTGAATTTTAAAGAAGAATTATATAGCGAGAGTGTTCTCACACCCTTTACTGCTTCTTCATGGTGAATAGCGGCAGCCTCCATTTAAAAAATAAATAAAATGTTTTTCTGCTTGATTTTTACTTTAGAAATATCAAATCTTAGCTTTCTTGATGTTGCCGGAGGATGGAAGAACAAGAGAAATGAGATAAATCGAAGACTAATATTCTTCCTGTGTTTTTGTTAAACATCTGCTTAACTGCCGATTGGGAGAAAAGACTTCTTTGAGAGATTCACCACAGCTCTCCTCTAAGAGAGGACTGAGAAAGCTCTAGTTCCAGTTCCAGGGTCCCCAAACAAGAACAGAGCAGTCAAGACTTGATATTATTCACATATCTAAGGTAAAAACAAGCAAGCAGAAAGAAAACAGTTTGTTTTCTCTTTAAAAAAAATTATGCTACCACAAAGAAAAGGAGGCAAACAGGTTTTCCTTTGTTCACTTTTAAAAACTTTGTCCAGCAGCAGAATTTCCCTAGTACATACTAAGTATTTTGCTTATCCCTTTTCTTCCAAATTGTACTGTAAGCTTCTTGACAAATTAATGTTACGATGTATTAAAGTCTCTGCCTTTTTTCCCCTTCAAAAGGGTATTGGATTTCTATGCAAGGGCTGACCAGTTGTGAATCAAAGGGAAAAAATATCCAGAGATCTGTATATATGTACTTCTATAGGGAACATGAGATGAGCAGTCATCAAGGATAGGACCATGGTGAATTCATCAGGTAGAGCCTATTATATCAGTATTCAATTGTTTTGCACATGGCCTGCGGCTTCATGGGAATTTTTACAAACCATGTATGTCAGACAGTGGATACATTATTTCCACAAATTACTAATGACCTAGTAATTGACAAGCGATGGAAAAAAGCAGAGTAACAAGGGAATTACAACCAAACTTTGCTAATCAGCATTTCCCTAAGCCTATTTGTCTGCGCAAAAATGATTGGTTTCTCCCCAAGCCTCAGTAATAATTTAACAGCAGATGTTTACTAAGGTTCTGACTAAGATTTCATTAGAACAAATGCTGAAGTCACTCACTGAAGTCAACAGGCTTGAGTAAGACCCAGGCACATAAATTTTACGAAATACACACTACATTTACTGCTATAGTTTACTGCTGTTATACTATCTACATTACTATCAATTAAAACTAATCTATAACTAGCAAAATGCATTAACAGTTTATTTTGGGATGTATGCCTGTGTGTGTTCACTTAATCGTTACTTAGTAAAATTCATTAATTCGGTTCTAATGCATCAGGTTCTGCCATGATTTTACAGAAAGGTGAGGAAAAAGATTTAATGTGCATGCAATGAAAGAGAAAAGTATGAACATGGTATTTGAAATGGTATTCTGCAAGATGCTCAGCACATGAGATGACTTTCCCCATCATATATATAATTAATAATAGAAAAACTCTGAGTTATGAAAATCACAAATAACTGGAGATAATGTATCTAGAGTCAGCGCACTGTTGTGAGAGTTTAAACACCAGTTTCTCTGACTAATTTATTGCATGTGCATTTTGCTTTCCTAGTCATTCATATATTTGCTCTAACTGAAACATGAAGTGTAGACACAAGATTCACAATGAATTTAGGCCACTCGAAGAGGTCATATTATCAGCTTACTTCTAATAAAAACCACACTGGCATGTATTTTAACAAGAGTGACTGTCACCAGTCTAAATCACATACCACTACCCATCTCTACTCCGTAAAGAATTGTAAAAAAAAAACAAAAAAAAAAAAAAAAAAAACTACATGAGGGTTAGGACATTATGGCAGCATTACAAGAGG